ATGTTTGATTAAATTTTCTCATGTAAGTCAGGCATGGTGGTGAATGTCTGTAATCCCAGCACTCGGGAGGCTGAGGCAGGAGGATCGTAACAAGTTCAAGACCAGTCTGGGCTGCAAAGTGAGCTCAAGACCAGCCTGAACTTCATAGCGAGACCCTGTCTCAAAAAGACAAAAAAAAAAAAAAGTATCCCATGTATTGGTCACTGTTCTGCGCTAAGTCATTTTTCCACCCTACCTCATCCTCCCAAAATTCTTACAGTGCAGCAGGCAGCCCTTCCTTCAGCACATGCCGGCCTGAGCCTCCTGGAGGACTTTCCTTGGATGATGAATCCACCATCCGGTGTGAAGCCGCCAGTGACTCCCACGCCATTCCTGGAGAGCTAATCTGTAGGCAATGCAAACAGGAGCAAGCTTGGTGCTCATTGTACAGTACGTGAATTTATTCAACAATCAGTGGTTTTCTCTCTTTTAGAGAATGACATGGCTCAATGTGACCAGAGTTGGTAAAGTTGAGTTGAAGGAGAATAAGGCAAGGTCTGAAGTGGTGAAGCTCTGCGTAGCATAGGGGTGTGGATGTTGCAGGGTTCAACATTTATTGCGTATCTGAGGGTGCTCTACGGTACGGCTGGCAATGGGCTAGTTGCTTAACATGTTCCTAGCACCGTGGGACTTTAGATGAGATTTGTCAATGCATAAAGGGGAAAAAATCTACCAAGTGTGGCCCCCAAAGCGGAGAATCAACACAAAGGGCTTCACATTCCCATTTGTGATCACATGCCACCTCCAGGGTCAGAACTTTTTTCTTTTGGTTTTTTTTTTTAGTTTTTTTGGTTTTTCTCCGGTACCAGGAACTGAACTCACGACCTTGCGCTTGCCAGGCAGGCACTTTTGCCGCTGAGCTAAATCCCCAGCCCACTTTTTTCTTTTCTACTTCTAATCATTTGATTACAGATAACCCCTGAAGCCAACCTCGGAAACTATTTTAAGAATAGGACATTCATTCCACCCAGGTGTGGTAGCTCACACCTGTAATCCCAGCACTAGGGAGGCTGAGGCAGGAGGACTGTGATGAGTTCGAGTCCACTGTGGGCTACATAGTGAGATCAAGGCCAGCCTGGACTGCATAGCAAGGCCTTGTCTCAAAAAAAAAAAAAAAAAGAAGGAAAGGAAAAGAAAAGAAAAGACATCCCATCAGAATTTGAGTAATTTTATTCTCCACCATTTTATTCGTATGAAGACTGGGGCTAGAAAAATGGGGGGGCAGAGCCCATGCTGACTTACTTTTACCAAGATTAAACCTGGCCATCATAAAAGACAGGCTTCTGAGACACTGGCGTCTTCTTAATGTTTCTAAGTGAGGCATGGTTTACCTCTCAGTAATACTGAATTAATAGAGTTGTATAAAAGAAAATCAAGTCAGCACATATCAGGAAAGCCTGCAACCTGTTGAATCCTTATCATTTCAGTCATGTGCAGAAGGCTGTCCCCCCACTGCCCTCCGACTCTCCCGGCTGCAGCCTCCGAACTTCCAGGACTCCAGCAGCAGCCCGAGCGCAGTGCTGAGAGGCCGCAGACCCCTTGGCTCCCTCCCACCCGGCCCGCCCTCGCAGCCTCCCGGGCCTTTGTTCACTGTGCTCCAGCTGGGACTCTAGGCCAACTGGCAGCGCCAGGAGGAGAACCACCGCGTCGCGAGGGCATTAAATCTTCATATTAGCCCTTGGCTTGGTAAACCTTGATGTTGGCTTTGTTCTCTTTTTTTCAAGCATGACAAACAAGTGGTTTTTCTTTTCCTCTTTAATGATTCTTTCAACAAAAAGGGATAGTTTGGGGCTTTCTCCAAGGCTGATAGGTGTTTCTGTTTAATGAGGTTTTTATTATACTGTATTGGCTTCTCTGAAAAGAAATTACGAGCAGCAAACAGCTGATAATAGAACAAGACTGATAGAAACAATAACCAAAAGAGGGGAAGAGGAGCGCAGCCGCAGATGCACGCGGTAGCTGGGGCACTGGATGCCGCTGCCCCTTCCCCTTGGCCATCATTGTGCTAGCAAAAAAGTGAGCGTGGGCACTCCTGTGCCAGTTATATGTGTGAGAGAGATACGGGTGTAGATACAGACTCAGCTCAGCTGCCATCTGTGAGCAAGAAGGGTGGCGAGCTCGGTCTAGACAAAGATGAGCGAGGCTCAGAGTGCGGGGTTTACAAGGGCTGGTCGGTTACCATGGAAACTAATTGGCGCTAATAAGTAAAGGGACATTTTAACTGTAGAAACAGAATCGGAGGGGCCATTCTTCAATACCATCGTTACCTACAATTAATCTTTCATTTTCGGGCCGTCCTTACTTAATTCCTATGATGGAGCTATGCCCTCAGCCCCACAGCCTCACGCTGCTCACCCTGACTTTCAAACCCTGGATATCATCTTTTAGAAGGAGCTGTGCTTTAGGTTTAGATCTTTCAAGACAGAATCAATTTCACTTTTTCCCCCCTTAAAAAATAAACTGTTTGCAGATGGCAAGGAGAAAAGAAGGGAAGTAATGGAAAATTCTTAACTTCTAAACTGACGCTCTGCTGAGCACGAAAGCTGGCTGCAGAGCGAAGGAGAGCTGGGACCTTATCCTGCAGCACCAGCTTCAGGTTTTGGTTTGAGTTGATTTTCCCTAACAAAAGCATTGCAGAACAAGGAAAAATGTGTCTTTGTGGACTCGTTGTACAACGAGTTTGCCACTTTTGAAAGGCAATGTGTTCGCCGCACACAGCAAGCATTAAGATCAGGGCAAACAACGGAGATCTATTGCTCACTTGTGTTTTTTATTTTCCAGCAAGTATTAAACAGGGTAAATGGCTGGAGTTATCAATAAAACAGTAGTAGTTACTGAGATTTAATGAGAAGGTTTGCAATTAAGAATAGAATAAAATGTTCACGGTAAAAAATCATTTTGAAGAATAACGTAGGTCAGAGCCAGGCCTGTTGGAGAAATATCTTGTAGAAGCGGAGTTACAAGCGTGGGGTTGATAAAACATATTGATTTAACACCTTTACAGTTTCTTAGGTTTTACTTTTGTAACTCAATTTATAGTTTAAGAGAGTACAAACTACCTTAATAGTGTCTCCGGGCTCTTCAAAATCTATGCGGTTGAGGTAATCCAGATTTCCAGACATAGGTCTGGTTGGATTAACCACTCCCCCAAAAGGAAAAAAAAATTACCTTACAATAATTGAAGCTTTTAAAATTTTATGGCGCCTCAGGGAAGCTTTAGTCCTGTTCTGCCACTTGCCATTGTTGAAAATGCTTGTGTTGATTATGTATCTGGATTTAGGTGATTAGAAGTAGTGGTTTAGTGAATACACTGTATATTATGAAGCACACACCTCATAACCACTTCTGAGAAGAAAGTGAGCAAAGGAATCAGGACTCTAACCTTGAATTGTCTTTTTTCTCCTTCTTCCTTGAAAACTACCTATTAAAAAAAAAAAAATCACTACATGAAATAATAGTGCCCCAATCCTGTGCTTCAAAAAATCCTACCAGGGATATTTTTAATCTTTGTTGTTGCTATTCTGGTACTGGAGATTGAACTTAGGGACTCCCACAAGGTGGGTAAGGGCTGTACCATTGAGCCATATGCCCAGCCCTGTTTTATACTCCTTACTATATCACACAAAAATTCCTGAAATAGAAAAAAACCCAACTAAGCAAGTCAGTGTGGCTAGACACTGACCTAGACAGTGATATAATGTTATCTGTGATAATCCCACTCCATCTATTAGATGCCTGTTCATAATCTAAATTTTAAATCTTTAGTCAAGTTTAAGGTGTTCTTTTGTTGTTTTCTCTAAGCAGTCCTCCTTCCAGTTCAAAAACAATTTCAAAAAGTGCAATATTTATTTATTTTTTTAAAGTGCAATATTTAAAATGTTGACTTCCAACAGACACTGTCAGGGAGCTGATCATATTTAAAATTCCTATTTTCTTTTTAAGGTTATCAAAATTCCTTAGATGTCTGATGGGATTTTTGAAACAATAAGATTTTGTAAGTACTTACTTTATTTCCAGCTAACTTCTTAAAGTACTTAGAATAAGTAGAGCCATTTTCTGGTTCAGACTATTTAAGTAGTTCTGTAAAACAGCTGAGAGAACTAAACATTTTTTTTTCCATAGGAGAAGGAGGTATTGAAATGAGCAAAAACTGAAAACATTTCAAAGCAAAATTGTTAATGAGCTGTTCGAGCTATACAGACATTATAAGTGCAATTAACTAGAAGCCAATAAAAATAATCAATGACAGAGCGCAGCCCTCTGGTACCAAGTGCTTTTACAAAGAGATGTCTGTGAAAGCAGCCAGGAATTTAAAAAGCCACCTCTATCTATGGGAGAGCGGCGTGCTATTTTGCATGAGTGGGATCGAAAATGATTTTCATTGACTATTTCTGAAGTTAAGCCTATGGCACACGGGGCAGAGCTGCTGAGGGAAGACAGAAGTTCCCGCTCTGGGCTGCGGCTTCCACCCTGTGCTCCCAGACTGTCAAAGGCAGCCTCGGTCTAATCAAAGAAAGGTAGGAGTTTAGATTTCCAAATGTAGATGTCACATTTCAGTGCAAACGACTCCCACATTTAACACTTTGTCAGCATGACAGGACGGATCTTTTATCTCCTGTGGGGGGAAAGCGGCTTGCTGAGAAGATTGCCTTCAATAGATTGGCTGTAAAAGGTTTTTAGTGTCTCTCCGCATCCTACTGAGGGTCCTCAGCATCCCGGGGGAACGCGGGGAGTTGTGAAAAGTAACGCACAACTGGTCACCAGAAGAATTCATTCCCTCTACCTTCCCCATAGCACCTCCCACTCCTCCTCTTTTTATAGCAGTCCTTTCTCTCCGAAAATCTCAGGTTACTTGGCTGGGAGTTCTCAGACCTCCCGTTCCAGCCCTGCCCGCAGCCTCCAATCCGTAGGAGACACCCAGCCCCAGCGATTGGATTGGGCAGCCTGTCTTGACACACCACCGCGCTGAGAGCTTGAGGACGTGTTTCAACAGATGGTTGGGGTTAGTGTGTGTCATCACATTCGAGTGGGGATTAAGAGAAGGAAGGCTGCCTCGCTGGAGCTGTGTGGTCCTCTCCAAGTGAGAGTTGCAGGCAATACAACTCCTTTGCTTTCGGGAGAAGGGGAGGAATTCATTTTCAGCAGCCGCAAGAAAAGCAGTTTTTCAGGTAAAGTAAAAGACTTTGAATGCTTCTCTCCCTTTTACCGTAGTTCTGAATGGAATGCTAGCACAGCACACTTGTCACCGGCAGTTGCTGCTGCCCTATCAATGCTGCTATTGTACGGTTGACGGATAACAGTGCGCATAGCTTGATGCTTGGCTGTCGTTCTAGAACGAAAGCTTCTCCTGCTTTGCTTTGGAAGGTGTAGCTAAGAAAATGTCCTTTGGAGCACTGTGTGTGCCCTTTCAGGTCTGTGTTATAGACTCAAAACAGTAGGTGTAAATTGCTCGGAAAGGATGGGCGAGGCCAAGAAAGCATTTATTTTAGCTTTCAAAATTAGAATTCAGTTTCCAACACTTGCATTATTACTACTCACTTCATACAAGAGTCTATTACTGAGTCCCTGGCAGAGATGGAAACGCTTTGTGAACCGACTTGTACAAGATAGATCGTGCCTGATTTATGATGGAGCAAAGGTTTCCTTAAAAAATCTTCAGGTTGACTCTAAAGTTTGGGACGCCCTCACGAGAAGGGACTGCCCTACCCTCTCAGCAGCAAGAGGGCCAGCTTTAAAACAACAACAACTAATGCTGGGAGCTGGAAGAGAGCAGAAGAGGAGGAAAAGGGAAAATGCTCTTTACCATCGCCCTCTTGCAGCTGCAGGGGGAGCAGATGGAGGTAATTCATTTGCAGATCTGTCTGTGAAAGTTTTACAAGTAGTCATGAAAAACTAAAGTAGCATATCTGTAATGGACCATTAGAGTCACTACATTTATAGGTTTTAAACAAGCTATCTGAAGTGTTAATTAAATGTAAATAGAAGTTAGGGCTGGGTTATAAACAAACAAATAAAAAGGTTTTAATTATAAATTAGTCATTGGAAAGAAATGGTCATCCGGTGCAGGAGCAGCATAAAAGGAGTTGTCATCCTGTGTGAGAAACCCGCTGTCCAAGGCCCCCACCAGGACGAAACTGAACAGAACGCAACCAGCAGGTTTATTTGCTCTGCTTAGCTTGAGGTACAAAAAGGCCTTTCAGGCAGATGCCCTGTTTTTACAGCGATCAAAATGTGAAATTTTCATTTTTCAAATTTTTGAGCAGGATAGGTGAGTCCAGGGGTTCCTTCTTTTGCCGCCCCACAGACTGAATTACCTTTCCACACAAGGTGCATTTACCGGTGGTGCAGCAAGAATTCTTGCTTCTACTGGACTTGCACATTTAGCAGAGAAACCCAACACGGTCCTCAGCCTTTGCAGGTGAGATAGTTCGTGAGTAAGACTGTATACAGGCTCTTCTGAAATAGGAGCTGCTTGGTAGACTGAATAATAGGATTGATAGCTAGTGCTTTGTGATTTCAGTATTCAACTGCAGAAAGATGCCTTATGTTTCAAGTTGATATCTATCTATCTATATATATCTCATATGTATATACCATATATATTATATAAACATGTGTGTGTATAATACATATATACATATGATATATATATATATTAGCCACATAGTTGATTCCTTTTAAATCTTTTCTTTAAGTTAAGATTAAAACAATATTTTAGTATAGTGTTTAGTTGCTACTCAGTGTTCTCTGGTTATAGTTTGAAAAATCTGTTCCAGTGAGAAAATAGCCTCATAAATAACCAAGCGGTTATTCCAACTGAGTACTATCTGATTCCTAATATTACATAACCAAAATAGGACTTAGTTCAAAAGCTGAAGTCTTTTGGAATTCCAGTCATTCCATTTTGGCTTTACAATGGAACTGCAGTTTTTAAAAAGGCAGAAAGGCAAACTAATATCCTGCGTTGTCAGGATCTCTATTCGGGCAGCGTGGAGTGGAAGGTAGGGTGCCAGCTGCCCACGCCGATGTCACCACTGTGGAAAGATTTCAGCAGAAAGCAAAGTTCCTGCTCAGGGCCACGTCCCCCCATGAGGTGTGGTGCGATGGCTCTAACGAAGGCGAGGTGCAGTTCCCAAGTGCAAGGCCCATGAGCTCGTATCCCTGCTGCCGGAGGCTCACCACAGGCTGCCTGCACAGGGCTTTGACAATAGGGGAAAATTCTCCCTCCAGATCAGTTGTACAGAGGATTAGACCAGAGGGAAAGAAGAAAGGAAGGGTTGAGAAATGATAAATTCACACTTTCAAGAAGGAAAGTTTTTGCTCTTTCACTTAGTGAACTGAACTTGCTTAAAAGACAGTGCCCACAAGGTAACCCAGTCTCTTGGCCAAGTCTAAATCTACCATTCCAGATGGTAAACATTCACGAGACTTATTTATGGTGACTTCTACATACCTTCGTTTGACATTTGGTTTCTTCCTAACAGTGCCTGTGCTGGTAACATATGAAGTTCCCATCAGTACCGTAACAGCTGTAGAAGTGTTTGAACACACGGGTGTCCCTCCCTCCCGCCCTCCTTCCCAGCGATGGGAAGCTTGGCTGGGGGTGGGAAGGGCTTTTCATGGTGGCTGTCTCCTTCTATCAAGTTGTGTATTAAGATGATGACTCTCAGAGGTGATTCGAAAACTTAATTCATGAGGTTTTACAAAATGCATTTTTATGGTTGGGACAAGAATACTAACATACATGAACCCTGGTATTGACAGACATGTGGCAGATCATGAGTGTGACCTTCATCGAAGAACTCAAAGGGTTCTGCTGATTCCTTCTAAGGAGATTTGTGTGACATCAGACAGATTGTCATGGCCATTCCCATTATCATAGTTGAGACCTACAGCAAGTGGGACACTTTTCATTTCCTTTCCGAATTACGAATCCATATAGGAATGGGTAGAGAAGGGGTTTTTGTGTGTTTTAGATTTAAAACACATTGACTCTTTAAATCCATAAAGCAGGATTTCTGATACAGAGGTATACATAGTATTGAGAGTTCCCCAATCATTTCCGTGTGGATGAGGCCAACCAATGGGTCAGGTCAGGACATCTGGTTCTTTTTTCTGTGTGCAGTATTTTTGTATGTACCGTATGGAGGAAATTTAAGGGGATTAACATTTTTATAAGCTGACTCTAAATAGATTATTATTTTTATCATCATTACTGACATTGGGTAAAAGAGGCACATGTATAAAATTAAATTTATGGTCCTATGGTAAATTCACCTTTATTTTAGGTTAGAGCCATGAAAAAAGAAACTTGAAAGAACAAAATATTTTGCGGAAAAAGTTGGTCCCGAAATATGTTTCTTATTTAAAATATTTTCAATTCACTTTCAGTACGCTGGGGAGGAGGGAAATTGGCCCGTTAGCCTTATTTCTCTCTCTAATATTCCCTTCTCCCCTATACCCAGTCTGTCATCAAAGTCTTGGAATCTTTCCTTTAAAATGTCTCCCACATCTGGCCCACAGCTACTGTCCCAGAGCAATGCTCCTTACACGAAGGTCACTGCAACAGCTTCCCAGCTGGCCTCATTGCCTCCATGTTCTTCTTCTTTTTCCTTTCCTTCTTCTTCTTCTCCTCTTTCCCTTCCTCCTCCTCTTCTCTTCCCCCTCATGCATGCTAAGCACGCGCTCTCCCACCGAGCTGCACCTTCAGCGCCTATTTCCTGCCTCTGTCCCCCACTCGCAGTCTGAGCCACCTCTTCCCTCAGAGCGTTTCCTGTCTGCCAGCTACCACGGGGGACCTCCCTCCTACAGGATCAACTTCCAGTGTGATGTGCTGGCTCGCTGGTCTTTGGCCAGCCAGGCTTTCCTTCTACAGCTTCAGGAATCTACGCTTGCCTCCCGCCACTGGGGCCAGACTGTGTCCTCTTCTGCCAAATCTTTTGTCTTGGCCTCAGCCACTCTAGTTTTCTAGTTTCTTGGCTGTAAATTGCACTTATCATACGCATGGTTCCTTCTGATTCTGGGTGCAAAGGCGCGCGCAGAACGCGCCTCTTGGTTCGTCCTTAGCCGTGTGTCCATCCTTCGGAGTTTTAGCTGCAGTCCCGCCTCCTCCTATAGCGCCTCCTGCTGCCCTCTCCCAACCATGTTGTTCCCGAGATGCTGGTCATTAGCCGTCCATGGATTATACTTAGCACAAGTACCATATATATTTTTATCTTGCACTATAATTTGTTTTTTTATCTCTTGACTCTTAAAGTAGTGGGTAGGGACTGGCCTGGTACCCTTTCATGCCACGAGAAGACACTCATGAATGTGCTGGACTAATTCAGCAAGACAGACTGCCAGCCAGGGCTCTCTCCTCTCTCAAGATACCCCGCTCGCATCATGAACGAGTGCGTGTAGTTTCTGTCTTGTCTGCAAGAGGTCAGGAAAAATGATGAAACTCAGTTGGTTTTATTTTAGGAGACTCTAGGGAAAATGTCACTTAAACAGAACCTGAAATTATTGCCCAAAATTAGGTTGAAGTATTCTATGAAAAAGCCCCATCTATTTTGGTTTTCTGTGACAATGACAGAAGTTACATCTCTTGGCTACCCCTCTATCACATAAAATGCTACATGTAACTTTGGTGCAGAACAGTGCCAGCTTTAGGTCCAAATAGACCTGTGTTTTAATCCAGAGACCATCTCTCACAGCTGTGTGGTCTTGGATAGGTTCATCAACCGTTCTGCTTCCTCGTCTGTAAAATGTGATAAGGACTCATAGCGGGGAACGTTGTAAAGCAAACAGGAAACGCACTAGGTCAATGAATGTCCAATATTGAATGTCCAGGAAATGGGGGGGGGAGAAAAGGTTGGTAACTGTATATGCTGATATAGATCTAGGATACAGGAATGTGTTCATTTTGGTTAAATCAATCATCAATTGTGTCTTCCATTAAGATTTTCTTCTGGAAGCCGGGCATGCTGGCGTGCACCTGTCATCCCAGCACTGGGGAGGCTGAGGCAGGAGGATTGCTGTCAATCTGAGGCCAGCTTGGGCTACAAAGTGAGTTCAAGGCCAGGCTGCACTGTATAGTGAAACCTTGCCTTAGAATGATAAAACAAACAAACAGAGGTTTTCTTCTTCCACCAAGGGAGGGGAATGGGTAAGGGAAAAGGAAGGTGCC